ATATATATATATATATATATATATATATATATATGTATATATAAATTGGGCCCTTTGGGATCAGTTATACATATTTATATAAATAAATGTAAATATGTTTATAGACATATTTTTTAGAACACACCTTTTACTTATACTAAAAAGCCATTATACTGTCTATCCAAGGAGTTACATGCAAGGCTAAAAACAAGCTTGCAGTAGTTTGTAGGGAACTACACCCAAGAGAGAAACATTCAGAGACCAGTCTTCACTAACACATACCGAAAGCTTTTCCATTAGGCCTTAGAGAAGAAATAACTCGGGTTTTGGTAGTTTTTCACTTTTGGTGCTTTGGTACCTAAGGCTTAATATTAGGTGGAAATGCTCCTCGAGTTTAACAAATACCACTCCACAACATCACTCTCTCTTACCATGTTGTCCTAGTGCAATTTATTTGACTATGAGTCCCTTTAGGGCGGATACTACAACTTAATTATCTGCCTATCACTTTTGTACCTAGCAGCCGTAACAATGACAGCAATCTTGGGTCTGTCAATTCTTCACCGCCCAAAAGTTGCAACATTCATCACAAAAGCGTTACAATACGGGCAAATCTTTCACCTAACAACAGAAACCTCTAACTTCCTGAAAACTGAGCCCAAAGGCACCAAGTGGAAAAATGAAATTGAAATCAAGGAGAGTAACTACACAGGCAAAGGCAATTAAGTGATATTCCGGGTTCCCGGCACGGGTCCGTGAGCCCGCCCCCGGCCTCCTCACCAAGTGTAGATCTGCAACTCGCTGGACGGTACGTTTCCCCGGGAGAACTCGTCCATTCGGTGGTGGCGGCCGTTATTAGTGGTGAAGACCCGCAGCAGCAGCGGGCATGTCTGAGGGACACAGAAAAGGGAAGGGCAGAAATTAAAGACCCCAGCTGCGAGCCCAGACCTTACTTCCCTTCCTGAGGCGTCGCGGCCTCCGAGCCGCCCCGAGACCAAAAACACCGCCTCCTCCCGCACACAAGCCGCACCTCTGCACCCTGCCGGGCCCACCCCTAACCTCTTCCCGGACCCCAGAGTGGAAGGGATCTTCACCTTCTCGCGGTCGATTGGCTTCTCTGGCTCCTTCTTAATTTCCTCCTGGGTAACGCGCGATTCCACCGCCATCTTCCTCCTACGGCCCGCGAGACGCTCGCCCTGACCTCCGACCCCTGCAGCGAGCATGAACACGAAGTCTCTCGCGAGGAGAAGCTCCACACTTTATATTCGGCCGGGGGCTGGGCGTGGCGTCTCCTGGCGCAGGCGCACTTCGGTGCGCGGCGCGTGAGCCCTGGCGCGCCTGCGTGTTGCGACGTAGGGAAAAGGTGGGTGGTGGCGACCGCGGGGAGACGCTAAAGGAGGCGCCTAAAGTCCGTCGCCGGGCAGTTTGTTGGCGAGGTGTTTTTTTCGCTTAAGTATTCACAGACGAAATAAGCTTAATGTGGCGTTTTCACGCATATTGACGAAAACCTTATTGGACACAAAACGTTCCTTAATTAACAAAATATAGATCTCTTCTTTCTGATAAAAGAACAGGCCAGCGATCCCGGCTCCTGAGGAGAGCCGGAAGAGGCGCCGCCAACATAAGTGGTGATGGAGCGGTCCTTCCAGCCACACACTGTTCGGGGGGAACAGAGACCTGAATACGAATAGCAAACCCAGAACTTGCAGGAAATAACATTCTAGAATATCTTCAGGACCTATGGGTGGGAATATATGATACAAAAAGAATTAACGAGAAGCGATCGATTTGGCTGGATTACGACCAAAAAAAAAAAAATCTAACCATGAAAATACATAACAACTCCATGATGAACCAAAAATGCTAAGTATGTGACTGAACTTACAAGTGAATCATCTTACGACTGAAAAGTGGGAAAAGCCACAATACATCATAAGAGGAAAAGGCCACAGAGTGGTAGAAATTTGTTACACATATGATTGACAAAGGCTAGTATCCAGAATATATAGGAACTAAAAAGACAACCCAATCGAAAAGTTGATAAAATTACTGAATAGGTGCTTTGGCAATGACAAAATCTATAGTCAACAAACAGGTAAGGGTCGCAAGCGCATTAGTTTCAATTGATTGGACTTTAAACCACGTCCACAAGATTGGCAAAAATTAGGAACCTTAGCAGGGCGTGGTGGTTCACGCCTGTAATCCCAGCATTTTGGGACGTAGAGGCAGGCGGATCACTTGACTTCCTGACTCCTGACTTGAGGTCAGGAGTTCAAAACCAGCTTGGCCTACATGATAAGACCCTGTCTCTACTTTAAAATAAATAAATAAATAAATAAATTAGCCAAGTGTGGTGGCAGTTGCCGGTAATCCCAGCTACTTGGAAGGCTAAGGCAGTAGAATTGCCTGAACCCAGGAGGCAGAAGCGGCAGTGAGCAAAGATCGTTCCAGTGCACTCCAGCAGCCTGAGCGACAGAATGAGACTCCATCTCCAAAAAAAGAAAAACACGGCGGGGCATGGTGGCTCACCTCAGTAATCCCAGCACTTTGGGAGTCCAAGACAGGTGGATCACTTTAAGTCAGGAGTTCCAGACCAGCCTAACCAACATGGTTAAGCCTCGTCGCTACTAAAAATACAAAATTAGCCGGCTCGTGGTGTGGCAAGCCTGTGATCTCAGCTACTTGGGAGGCTGAGGCAGGAGAATTGCTTGAACCCAGGAGTCAGGGGCTGCAGTGAGCCAAGATCACGCCATTGTACTCCAGCCTGGGCAACAAGAGCGAAACTCCGTCTCAAATAAAAACTAGGAACTCTGACGGTAACAAGTATTTGTAGACTACTAGGAATTCTTGCATACTGCTGGTGAGAATGTAACCTGGAACACCTGCTTTGGAAAGTAGTACCTACCCTAGAGAAAATCATGCTCATCTCCAGAGACATTACAAGAAAGTTCTTAGCAATATTGTTCATGAGAACAAAAAGCTGGAAACAGCCCAAGTGTCCATCGACAGTAGGACAGTTCAGTGAATTGTGGTGTACTATACAGCAACACAACTACCAATCAACAATGGGATACTAAAAAGCAACACAAGTTTACAAACTACAGTCGTATGAAACAATGTGAATCTCACAAACATGATGGTAAATATAAGAAACAAAGACAAAAATGTATATATTGGGTGAATTCGTTTTCATAACATTCAGAAGTAGGCAATACTAAAATATATTGTTCAGGAGAATTCCCAGATGACAAAAATTATAAAGAAAATGGAGAAGTAATTATAATTACCGGAAAAGTTTGAGTAGTAGTGACCTCTGAGTATACAAGGGGATTGTGATAAGGGAGGAGCCAATGGAATGCTTCTAGTGGTGTTGGCAACATTGCATTTTTTTAAACCTAGGTGTTGGTTACATAGCTGTTTGAATTAAAATTAAAGAGTACATTTGGCCAGGAATGGTGGCTCATGCCTGTAATCCCAGCACTTTGAGAGGCTGAGGAAGGTGGATCACGAGGTCAGGAGTTCAAGACCAGCCTGGCCTGCATGGTGAAACCCCGTCTCTACTAAAAATGCAAAAAATTAGCTGAGCGTGGTGGCACGCACCTGCAGTCCCAGCCACTTGGGAGGCTGAGGCAGCAGAATTGCTTGAACCCGGCAGGCGGAAGTTGCAATGAGCCAAGATAACGCTGCTGCACTCAAGCCTGGGTGACACACCGAGACCATCACCCCTCGCCAAAAAATAAATAAATAAATAAATAAATAAATAAATAAAATAAAGAGTACATTGATGTTATTATTGAGATGGTCTTGCTCTGTCACCCAGGTTGGAGTCCAGTGACACAATCATAACTCACTGTAGCCTCGACATCCCAGCTCCAGCGATTCTCCCATCTCAGCCTCCTGGGTAGCTGGGACCACATAGCTGGGAACACAGGTGCAAGCCACCATGCCGGGCTAATTTTTTTTTTGTAGAGACAGGGTTTTGCGATTTTGGCCAGACCACTCTCGAACTCTTGACCTCAATCTATCCACCCACCTCAGCCTCTCAAAGTGCTGGAATTACAGGCAAGAGCTACTGTGCCTGGCCCCATTTATTTTATTTTTAGTGCACCCTTCTGTATTAATGCTATACATTGCTATTTTAAAAATACGTAATTCAATAGAAAAATGGGCAAAAGACATGGATGGGCTGGGCGCAATGGTTCATGCCTGTGATCTCAGCACTTTGGGAGGCATAGGTGGGTGGATAGCTTGGGCTCAGGAGTTCGAGACCAGCCTGGCCAGCATATCAAAACCCTGTCTCTACTAAAAATGCAAAAATTATCTGATCGTGGTGGCGGGTGCCTGTAATCCCAGCTACTCTGAAGGCTGAGGCAGGAGAATCATTTGAACCCAGAAAGCAGACGTTGCAGTGAGCCGAAATTGCGCCACTGCACTCCAGTCTAAGCAACGGAGCAATACTCCGTCTAAAAAAAAAAAAAAAAAAAAAGGACAGGCATTTCATAGATGATTAAATAAAGGTAAACATATGAAAAGATACCTGACCTCATGAATAGTCATAGAAATGCAAAGTTAAACACAGTGGGATAACACTTCGCTCAACTAGATTGACCAAAATGTGAAAGTGTGACAAGTAAGTGCTCACAAGGATACAGAGAAAAGTAATTTGTATAGATTGCTCTCATCTACTTTAGAAAACTGATTGACATCACCGAAAAAGATTAGATATGTGTACACCTTAAGACTCAGGTATTCTATTCCTTGTGTGTAGCTCACAAAAACTGTTGGCCATGAGCACAAGACAGAATTTTAAATAATGTAACGTGTTTATTCATAATAACCAGAAACAATTGAACTATCTACCTAGAGTATATCCATAAAATGGAATACTATAAATACTTGAAAGCAAATAAATGAATCAGTACTCTTTCTTAAAAAATAAAAGCAAATCACAGAACCCATATGATAGGATTCAATTTATGCAATTTACTCAATTTGGGAGGAAAATAGGAGCCCCCTCACCTAAAAATACTGTTTAGGGAAAAAAACATGAGTGATAAAACTATAAAGAGAAGCAGGGGGGACATCAACACTAAATGCAGTGTAGTGTTACCTCTGAGGATAAGCTTGGGTAATGCAATATATGAAGGGCATCCAGAGCTTCTAAGATATTGGTAATGTACTCTTTCTCACTAGGAGGAATGTGTTTTTCATTCTCTACACTATAGCTATACATGTTAGAAACTCTTTTGTATGTGTGATTTAGAATACAGTCTTAAAATTTTATTTATTTATTTATATACTTTTGAGACAGGGCCTGGCTATGCTGCCCAGGCTGAAATTCATTGGCACAATCTCAATCTCAGCTCACTGCAGCCTCCACCTCCTGGACTCAAGTGATGCTCCCACCTCATCTTGCCTTGTAGCTGGGACCACAGGCCGTACCACCACACCCAGCTAAGTTTTTGTATTTTTTGTAGAAACGGGGTTTGCCACATTGTCCGATTGGTCTCGAACTCCTGGGTTCAAGCAATCCACCCGCCTTGGCCTCCGAAAGTGCTGGGATTACAGGCATGAGTAACCGCACCCGGCCATAAAAGATTTATTTGTCATTGTGCCTAGAATGGGCATGCATGCAGAATTGCATGCGGGCAATGTTTGTTTTTTTCAAAAAGATATTTAAATTTTCTCCTCAGTTCTATGATTCTAGTAATATAGCTTTTTAAAAATTTTTATTTTTCTGCTGGGGCGCAGTGCCTCACACCTGTAATACCAGCACTTTGGGAGGCTGAGGTGGGTGGATCATGAGGTCAAGAGATCAAGACCATCCTGGTCACATGGTGAAACCCCATCTCTACTAAAAATACAAAAATTAGCTGGGTGTGGTGGTGCACACCTGTAGTCCCAGCTACTCGGGAGGCTGAAGCAGGAGAATTGTTTGAACATGGGAGGCAGAGGTTGCAGTGAGCCAAGATCGCACCACTGCACTCCAGCCTGGCAACACAGTGAGACTCTCTCAAAAAAAAAATTATTTTTCTGAATAAAGAAGAATTCTATGATGATTCTAGTATTGTATCTTTTTCAAAACCTCCATAATATAAAAATGCAGACACATGAGGCACTCTAATCAATCCATCAAAGGGAAAACATTGAAACTATGAAAATGAGGAACTTCACAACCTTTTATTGGTAATATTAGGGAGGTTTCACTTCTTAATATAAACTCTCATTTTGGGACCTTTCCAAATAACCAGCTGTCATCAAAATGAAACTTTCCAACACCTTAAGGTAGTAGAAGTGCAGCTATATTTTAGAATACTTGGAATACTTTTTCAGTAGCCCTCATTTTACCTACATTGCCTTGTAAGATCAGCTCTGAATTGGTTCTGGAATTGTAATATTAAGGGTATGCATCTTCTTTTTTTTTTTTTTAGAATTTACATGGGCAAGTATTACACTTCTAAGTGATATACCCAAGGGAATTGAAAGCAGGGACTCAAGATATTTGCACACCAGGGTTTATAGCAGCATTATTCACAATAGCCAAAGGGTAGAAACAGTCTGAATGTCCATCAACAGATAAAAAGATATACATACAATGGAATAAAGTTCTGATGCATGTTACAACATGGATGAACCTTGAAAACAGTATGCTAAGAGAAATAAGCCAGGCAGAAAAGAACAAACATTGTGTGATTTCACTTATATGAGACACATGGAATGAATAGGCAAATTCATAGGCAGAAAGTAGGATAGAGGCTGCCAGGGGCTGGTGGGGACGCGAGGAGTGGGAAGTTATTGCTTAATGGGTACAGCGTTTCTGTTTGAAATGACGAAAAAATTCTGGATATGGATGGTGAGGATGGTTGCACAACATTGTGAACATACTTAAAGTCACCGAATTGTACACTG